TGACAAGGACGATGGTGGAGAGGCGTTAAAGTTATTTTTGAATAAAAAACTAATAATTAAGTCATATCGTTGATTCAAAGCTGCAAAGATTCGTCTCCAAAAAAAAAATAATAAATAAATTTTCATTAAAAATACTTGATTATTTTTTTCTTTTTTAATTTAAAACATAATTCAATTTATGTCTTAATTACAACAAATGATAAATAAAAATTTTATTTGTTTTTTAATGAATGAATTTAATTTCGCTGCCCACGGCAATTTATGACACTCATCGATTGAAACGTTTGATAAAGCATTAAATTATCAAATTAACAATTATGTTTTACTGTTGATTGAAGAATACTGCTCAATTGTTACCGTTTAATTGCAAAATTAAATATTTTAGAACCCTGAATCGGAATAATCAATGTTTTTTCGTGAACAAGGCAAAGAATTTTTGTATGTCACTTGAGAAAAATGTATTGGGCTTTGAAAATTAACAATTTTCATCAATCCAACTCAATAAGAGTTGATCGGCAGTTTTATGGAGATGAGAATCCCTCGCGAGCTATTTCTACACCCTCAGTTAAAAATCCACCCGTACACCAACGTTGCATAAATAATTAATCATTAACGATATTAAGTATACCTCCAACATGTTTGTATTATTATATATATATATATTAAGTACATAAGGTAAATTAAGTACATATTATATACATAGCATATAAGCTTCGCACGCCACTGCATGACAAAAGACTTGCTTGCCCTCTGTTTGCAAAGAATCACTAGCCCGAGCGTGACTGACCCTAATATTAGCCACCTACGAGCCACTACCTTCACCACCACCACCACCACCACCACCACCATCACCCGTACCATCACCATCATCGTCGCCACCGGCAAAACAACGACGATGACGACGAGGAGGAGGAGGAGGAGGAGGAGGACGAAGAGGGCGAGGATAACGAGGAAGAGGTAGATAACGGCGATGAGGAAGAGGAGGGCGGGGACAGCGAGGGCGAGGACGACAGCACGTGCTCCCTGCCCGAGCTGAGCATGGAGCAACTCCTGACGGGCGGCTCGGGGCGCAACTCGTTCCACCAGCAGGGCAGACGCCGCCTCGAGCCCCTCCCCGAGGAAGAGGACTCGGTGTCTCTCGGCAGCAGCCCCGGCAGGTACCAGCAGGTCGGCTGGTGGTGACGCCGGTTTCCCCCAGCGGCCCCCATACCGCCCCTCGTCTCCGCCGAACTCCTCGAACGGGAGCGCGACCGGGTCCTCGCCGAGCTCACCCGGGGCGACCACGACTTCCGCAGGAAGATCCTCGACCTCCACCGCAAGCTCTCGGACGTCGACGAGGAGGCCAACCGCAGGCTCCAGCAGCAACAAGGGCGGGACACCGTTGAACCGCCGGACGACTCGCAACAATTGACTCCCAGGAGGCTGCGGGAACTCGAGGTGGTGGCGATGAGGGCCGAGGAGAGCTCCGACCGGGACGATGAGCAACGCCGACAGGAGAGACAGTCGAGCAATAAACCGAAGAAGAAGGTCGAGTTCGAGGACCTGAAGGTGGCCGAGTCGAGTTTCATGAACAGGTGGCGGTTGCGCAAGCAGAGCATCAAGCTCCTTGGCTTCCTCGGGAGTGGCAGGGAGACCGGCAAGGAGGAGCGCCAGGCGAGGCTGCTCAAGTTGTTCGTTGACAAGGACGATGGTGGAGAGGCGTCGACGTCGAGCGGCGAGCCCAACACCATTTCGATACACCACACGTCCAGGGACCGGAGGTTCTGGCGGCTCAGGCATCGCAGGAGGTCCAGCTCCACTTGAACGTGTTTTATACAATATATATATTTGGTTTATTGTGCCGGGCGCGGCTGTGATGACGATTCCTCGACAAGGCTCTGTTTGGAACTGTGTGCGTTTGTCCAAAGTTATCATAGAGAGCCAAGCTCTCCCAATCGAGTATAGAGATTATATATCTTGATCGGTTTGCATTTGAAAAATAAACCGTGGTAACGTTACGTGGTTAAATTTTGTCAACGTTGTATGCGCGCAGAGTTTTTTTCTTTCCATCAGTTTGAGATTTTAGGTGTAGAGTGTAAAAATGGTTGTTTTCGTCAAAGATGTATTTTCAAGGGTACGAGTTGGCAGTACTAATTGCGTAGTTTTTCGATAGAGCATCGTTTGCGTGATTTGTATGAAGACTTGAGTGATATAATACGATCAAAAATCGATAAAAATGATGATAATACAAGTTATTATTTCATTGTTTCTTGCTCCATCGGATATTATATTGATGTAAGAGTCGAGTGACCTTTACTCCTTTATATACGAGTCCAAACATATAAATATAATTATCGAGGTTTAGAATTTTCATTGATACAAATTTTATTGATCTAAGCGTTAGAAAGTCATTATTATTACTATTGTTGTTGATACGAAAGAGGTGGAATGTTGGGGATGAAAAGATATTTGCGTTTTTCTATAGAACTAATAGCGTGCCAATAGTTGAGCGAGAGGATGTGGCAACGGATCTAGTTTTTGACCCGACTTGTCTGGTGGAAAAATATTTTTTCTATAGCGAGTAATTGTAACTTTCTACTAGAGGAAGGGCATGCTTACAAAGAAATATCACGTTTCTACTTCAGAATAAAACAGCAATAATTATAGTCGCAGGAGAGCTTTAGGGTAGTTATGTAATTATACATATTTATAGGCTAAACAATCTTATTTTTCTGAATTTTGAGAAATAAAAACATTTTTTTTTTTCCATCAGATTAAGTCCATGAATGTATAACTTTCTCATAGTATTGAAAAGGTACTCTACTACATTGTTACTCGTCATCGACGACTAGATTACAAATAGACTTGTGTCCAAAATTTTTCTTGTAAGAAACGTAATGGTAATGTCCATCTATGGCCAATAAACGAAAAAACAGCCTATTGAAATCATTTCAATTTAAACGTTGATGGAACCGTCAATTGCAGAGCAAGCGAGCAAATAAAAAAAAAAAAATGTCCAACGAGGAGCACATGGCAAGTGAATAAAAATCAAGATATAAGCCACTATAACTATTTTTAGGTCCGCATGACTGATTCAATGGCGGCACAATTATCTTCCACTAAATAATGCCTCTGCTCTTTCTTGTAAAATAAAAATTTGAGATTTAATAGGAATGAAAACAAATAAATTTATCACTATGTATTGTTGTAAAAATAGCCTTTCCAGGCTGAAAGTATGATGGATAAATAAAATTATTTGTTCAACCTGTTCTTTTGTATTTCACACTGCAACAAATAAACTTAAGAAATTCATAGTGAGTCTTCTTTGTGAGGATAACTTTCATGACTCAAAATACTTTTTTCTGATGTAATCTATAGTAAATTTTCTTTAGAAATTTAATTTATTACATTATTACAGTTTTTAAAGTACGTTTAAGTTTGCAAGTAAACTTTTCACTTATCTTTCTAACCATTCCCTTCGAAGTTGTTCCTTAATTGTTTCCTTATCTAGTTTTTTAGGATTGTTGATAAAATCCTCTGTTGCTTTATATCTTTTTTCATCGATTTTGGGAAATACCATAAGCTTTCCATTTTCATGAAGGTATGTGCTTACAGAGTCTTCATTGTCAGGAAGATTTTCCGGTAGTTGTATAGGTGTGACTTTAATCAAATGTTTTATCTGCCAGAGCATAGCACATATTTCTGGAGTGTTTTTAACAACGGTGGTTTGTTTCTTTCTATTCTGTAAGAATAATTTACAATCGTTTTACTTTACACCTTGAACCTTAAATTTTGGTTACTTTATCACAATTCATTACAATTTAATGTTTTACCTCAACATCAAGATGCATTTGGGCAAGTATTTTTTTATGCCAATATGGATTTCCCTTGACTTTTTCTACACGTTCTACCAGCAGAAGTTTTGTTGGTGTGATTGGTGGGTCAACCTCATTTTTGTGTCTATTACAAAACAAGTTTTAATCAAAAATGTTATTCCCAAAAAGAAAAGTAAGCTACACATTGAATAAAAACTGCCCATGTAATAACATTACCTTGGGAAATAAGTTACCAAACCATACTTCACACCATCATTTTCTTTCCAGACTTTTGGAGTACTTCTGTATACTTTGGTACGTATTTGATTGAAAAACACTTGTACTGGTCGTAGCATTGTTTCACTGAACATGCTATGTTTATAAAATATTGGTAAAATTATTCACAGTGCTTCAGCATACTAGCTCGAATCTTTATTGCTCCTACACGAAAAAATAGTCTTGTTTCTTCACGTGTTCAATTGGCGCAGTGAAATAAATTATTTTTATTTATAACAACAACAACAACAACAGCACGAATTATTTATAACAGTGCACCATTTGGTGCCCACTTTCGTTTCAACAGAAATTGAGGGTTATGTTGATGGTCGTCTGCTAAAGTGTACTTATTACGCTTGTTGTAAATATATATATATATATCGTTCATCAAAGAATCAGTCAGCGCAATCTAGCGGACAATTATTCTCGTTTCTGTTTTCTCGCATTCTCGCAAATAATCGTCCGCTAGATGGCGCTGATCAATTGTTGCGCGGCTCGGCGGCTGAGATGATACATATATATATATATATATATATATACACACACAAGAGAGAAGGCCGCGCGACCGCCAACGATTTTCGAATTTTTCGATATACTTGAACGCAATACAACCAAACTTTAGCGATATACTCCTACGTCAAAACAACCGACGCACCCTATATGTTTACGATTTTGAATTGGCTGTATTGTTTTGGCCTGCGTCTTATATAGTTTTGTGTTTTGTTTAATCGTCTAAGTGCAATTGTTAATCATCATCTTCTCGGTCTTAATTTATTCGCATACGAATCAGTTGTTTTTCAAGCATTGACTTGACCGTTGTTTTTTTTTGTTAGTTGAGTATTTTATTGATAATTGACAACGAAACTCTGTGGTGAAAGATGGCTGGAGCTAACGATTTTGAGATGATGCTGAATAATTTTCTAAAATCTGCTGAGAACATCATTACTCATTTTGGTGAGTTTTTGGAGGTTATGCGGTTTTGTTTTCAATAAAAAGTTTTTCAAAACTATTTGTTGATCGTTTATTCAACTCAAAACAGACGATGACAAAGTTGTCAGGAATCAGCTTCTGGACAACTTGCATGTTTATGTGAAAAAATGCTGCTCCAACAGTTTGAGGGTAAAAAAATTTTCCACTGCCTTCAGAGAAGTGTTTCAGAACATTGATGCAGAAAATACGAATTCGGACGATATAATAAAGTTATTTAAAGTAATTACATGTTATTTTGTATAATGGATGAATTTTTTTATATTATACGTTTGTGTGTTTTACAATTTATTGCAGGAAAAGAAAAACGAGTTTCTTGATTATGAGCCAGATGTATCTCAAAACTCAAATTTTGAAGAATTTTCCCAACAAATGAAAGATCTCGCTAACAGTAAGTTATTTTGCGAGTTATACATTTCACTCGTGTTGTGGTACATTTTATTCTAATGTACTTATCAACAGGTGCGGATGGAGTGAAAAAGAGGTCAGCTCATGAAGATGATGATATTGAAATGACACAAGATGATGTTAACGTAATCGATCCATTTACAAAGAAACGGATGACTGATCCACTGAAAAATAAAGTATGTGGTCACATTTATGATCGTGAGAGTGTAGTCCAAATGCTCAAATTAAACGATAAGACGAGGTCAGTATCTTTATGACGAACAATTTAGTAAAGAAGATAGAAACAAATATGATAAACTCTTACTGAAACATTGTCGTTTTAATTTTAGGTGTCCAGTCGTAGGATGCAGCAACAAAGAATCTATTGATTTAAATAATATGATTCCAGATTTTGTTACAAGAAAATTCTTACATGATAACCCAGCATAGATGACACTATCATTTTCTTTGTTTACCTTTAAGCGTTAGCAATAATTATATTAATATACTAAGAAACTTGTTCTAATCAATAATGCGATCAAAATTAAGGTTTGATAATTTATTGCAATAAGTATTAAGACGTTTAACATTTAAGGATCGCTCACTCTTGTAAAGGTTTAAAGATCATACATGAACATTGTGATTCTGTCAGACAATAAAATATGACGTTTTTTATTACAAACTGCTTAGATTGTTTTGAGTACAATTTAGAGCCAACTTCACGCTTTTGAATAACCAACAACAATCTCAACATCCGAAATAATAAATAATTTAGTATTATGTTTACATGTAGGCTATGTTTATACTCTCGTTATTGATGTATTGCATTGTACTCTGTGTAACAACTTGTCAAGTATCTTTAGAACGTAACTGCAGCTTTGACCACAAATTATTGGAAAACGCCTCTCACTCAGTAAAACCAAGGAATCATGAAGGCAAGTTGTTACTACTGCACTTGTGTAAAACCAATCATTTCAACACCGTAAGTGTGTCTTGAATCAAAAACTAATCCAACGGTATCAAACGATAACAAGCAATGAAAAATGTTAAAACATTATTTCTCAAAAGATATACGACGTAGCTGCTCCGAGATCCGAAGAGAGGAGCGCCTGGACTAGCAATCCAACAGGACGAAGGCTCCTGTCTCTCTTGTACTACGATGCCAGTGTGGACGAGAAAATGTTGCCAGCTAAAAACGACAAAATGGAAAATCCAGGTGGCATGGACGATTACGACGATGACTACGAGGACAAGGAGGCCGAAATATCGTACAACGAGCCGGTGACCGAACAGCACGACGACGAGGACGACGACGACGAAGAGGACGACGATGGTTAGTACTAACTTTGGGCTCTGTTTCCTTGCGTTTTTCCAGATGCACAGTCGGAACGAGAGACCGAGAAGACAGTGGAACGTGATTAGGGTCGACTACAACGATCCACTGATCGACTATCTGAATCGCCGACTGACCGGACGGAGAAAAACGAGGTCGATGGGGACTAGGACCGACTGTGAGGTGCTCACCACGCAAGAATCCTACTACCGGGATTACGGTGAGATTGGGTCACTCTTGGTTGTTATTTCTTGCTGATGTTTATTTAATCAAAGTTGGATGATTTTAAATTGCTGGATGGGATTGGTGATTTGTGGATATCTTTACGTGCGTTTCAGACCCAGAAGAGAACATCGATCTCTCCTCTACTGGGATCAACGAGCCGACTGTCTTGCTGCTGATTATCTGCAGCGTCTGTACTTACCTGTACATCTTGTAACTGTGGATATATTTTTGATCGATGTCAGGACGCATGATCCTGAAAAACTACAACTGTACCCGATCGACAATACAAATTGGTATCTGATAAGCGAGATCGTTTATTTTGAATAGCCGTACATCTTCGCGGAAAGCGATAGAGCCGGACAATGGTTAATTTTTGCACGCGAAGTAATTAAGCGTTTGTATCGTGTATATACATCTCGTGCAGGCGTATTGGCCGAATCAAAGATGCCATTGTGCCGGAGTTGGATGGCGAATTGACGATAATTGGTTGAGAGGGAGGGAGGCGTCTTCTGCGAAGTTCTTTGCGGTTTTAATTGGCGATGACGCGCGCGTATGTACCTAAATAACTTGAGATTGACGGGCGAATCAACTTCCTCCCTACTTTATTTTCTTCACAAAGACGGTCGCTGTATCATACGTGCGCGTACAGAGACGGCGTGGCTTTTTTAGGGAATACTTGCTCGGATAGCTCGATTTTTTGGTACTTACTGATGAGTTAATTTCAATACGATTGGAATAATTGCGGCTCTCGATAACGGGACGATTGATTTCGAGCACACGTACCGCCCTGAATTTCGTTGGACCGAGGGTAAAAGAATTTTACTTGTGAAAGATATTTAGGAATACAATGCAAATTTCTTGTGAGATTTTCACTGGGATGATTTGATATTTTCAGATTTGCGGGATAACAATGAACTTTCAACCCTGGATCGCGTGGGCTCATCAACGAACACGTACAAACTGTAAAAAATACTCTGATTCCCTCCTAAAAAGTTGGAACTCTGTTTTACACCGAAAATATAGACTTTGGAGATAATCTTGTAAAAACACATTAGTAAAGATCCCATTGTAAGTAAATAGAAAGTAATAATGGTCAAATTAATGTACGGGAGCAGTGTTGTTACCAAAAATTCACGGCATGACGTACCGTGACCCAATCGAGTCAAGCTCGAAGAAATAATAAAATCCGAATCGATAGTCGGAACCCCTCCCCCCCCCCCCCCCCC